TTGGAGGAGGTCGCTGGCTCCTGACCTGGTGGGAGACCGCCGTCAAAACCTTGTCCTTCGTGGCAGCAGGAGATGGGGGGATCATGGGGGATACTTGCATTTCTCTGTGTCTTTCCTACCGTTAACTTTTTCTTTTTCCCCCTTCTTGATGAAAACAATGTATTTCTCACTCAATGATTAGCCATTTTATAGAGCTGAGAGAGCTCCTTGGGGATCCAAGTTAGCTTTTCTTGTTAAGTGAAAGAAATTCCGGTTACAAACTTCTCCACCTTTACAAATCTTTCTTGCTTCAAGTATAAATTTTTATTTTTTTTTTTTTTAAATGAAGCTGCCCTGTCTTGCGATTCTACCCCTTGACAGTATTGTAAGAAGTAAGATTGTTGTAGTTGGCTCAAATGATGATAACCTCGGAGATGAGAATGTGGTCGAAAGTCCAAGAGGGGAAGTTGATGCAGTAGCTGCTTTTTCTAGTGGTTGCACAATAGGCCTGAGGCAAACCCAAGGCTTACTGTTCTTTCCGCTGTGCTCTTTGGGATCACTTGGAGAGGTTGCATGCTCACATGAACAAGGCCAGACCTGTGGCTTGCTTAATGCATCCACTGGCTCACAGAGAACTTCTCCATTTCTCTCTGGTGGAAGCTCATTGTGTGGTGAACTTGGTGATGGTTCTGTGGCACACGGGGCAACCTTGTGCTCCTGAGGTTGGCTCACACAGCAAAGCTGGAGGGGCACCAGCAATAGCAAACGCTATAGTGATTGTTGTACATTGGGTAGTGGGAGAGGTGTGGGCAAATACACTTTCAATACTTTCTCTTCTGTATTTCATTTGGTGTGTTCTTTGTAAACAGGAAAGAATCGGAGGCTGAAGCAGGCAAAAGAAGAAGCCCAGGCAGAGATTGAGCAGTACCGTCTGCAGAGGGAGAAGGAGTTCAAAGCCAAGGAAGCAGCGGTTTGTTTTCTAGATCATTCACTGTTACCTACCCAGCCCCTTAGCCTTGTTTTTTGGGGTTACTTGCCCTGAGAGCAGCTCTCAGGGTGGAACGTGTTGCCAGAGGAGCACTTCCCTTACAGCCTTCCTCTGATGCACAGCCGCGTGTCATGGAAAAAACAGTGGAAGTGAGTCAGAACATGGTGTGTTGCATCTCAACAGCCAGAACTATTGACTGGCAGGGAATTAGCCTAATAAGCTCATGTACTGGCTGGTGCCCTGATGGGTGACAGCCTCCCAAATGTAGCAGTGTCAGAAAAAGACCAAGCTCATTCCTCCTGTGACAGGCTGGTTTCTATGATGCTAATGTGGTAGAGACCGCTTGCCTCGTAGATGCTGCTGTCTGACTGAAGCAGTTGTAAAGCTTGTATTCTGCTTAGCAGCGTTGCCTGCTGTGTCCCAAGGGGTGTGTTTTCCTTTGCCTGTGAGCAAGAGGAGGTATTCCCAAAAGGTGCAGAACTGAGGCCTTTTACCAGCCGAGATTGTTTCTGCTGCTTGTGTGCCCCTGTCAGTTCTGAAATTTTCAGAAAATGACGAGGCAGCCCTCGCCTCTGACCATCTTCTGGTTAGTACCATACTACCTCCTCTGTTCTCCTGCATGATAGCCTTCATGTCAGTAGGTCAAGATTAATTTTTCACAATCGCTTGTTAGCTTGGTTCTCTAGGTATGTGATACCAGACAATTCCAGGCTAATAAAGTGGATTTCACTGCCTGTCAGCTGATCGTGTTTTATTTATCCTTCTTCAGAGAGAGAAGCTCTTTGAATCTGAGTCCCAGGGTCCCTCAGCAAAGATTGATGGTTGAGATGCACTCAAGCAGTCCAGAATAACAAAATATAGAGCTAGGCATAGTGTTTCCTTTGTCAAGCTAATCACATGTGAGCTTTCTCTTTTCTTTGCTGTTTCTAGGCGCTTGGATCTCATGGCAGCTGCACCACTGAAGTTGAGAAAGAGACCCAGGAAAAGATGAGCGTAATCCAGCAGAACTTTCAGAAGAACCGTGAGGTGGTCCTCTCCCAGCTGTTGTCACTAGTGTGTGACATCAAACCTGAGATCCATGTGAATTACCGCATCAATGGGTAGTAGTGGAAGAAGGAAGTAAGCATACTGGAAACGCTGGTAGTAATGTCTGAGCTTCAGGTGGAATGTACAGCTCTTAGCCATATTTTAACTCTTCTTGTAAATGTGTTAAATTATTTCAGTGAGTTGTAGGTCATCAATATCTTGTTGGAGTTCTGTTAGTTTCTCTCTTGACACAGGTTCAGAGCTTATTCAAACATTAAATGACCATGTCTCAAATCTATGCTAAGTTATTAAATATATATTCAAGTTGGCACGTTCATGCTCCCTTCTTCTCTGGATAGTATTCAGGGAGAGACTTTTCCCTGTGAAGTAGAAAGGGGAGAGAGATGCTGGCCGGGTTTAAATGGAGAGCCTGTGTCACTAATTGTTAGACCTGTGTAACTTTATTCTTGTTGACCAAAATGCATTTTTCGGTGTGATGTTAACCTTTGTACAGGGGTTAAACCTTGTAAGGAGAATTCTCTGGCTGTACAGTGGTGGCTAATAACTTTCAGGTGCTTGAGTTTCTCTGTATTGAATATCCTCTGTATATTCTGCTGGTAGCTTGAGTTACAAGTCTGGCACTATGACACTTGAAAGTAAAAACACTTATTTAACTCCAAAGTCTCTAGTCAGTCTTCTTGTTCCTGCTAACTTGTTCTGAGAGTGCTGGCAGGTCTCTGTGTGTTGCATGCGAGTGTGGACTCTGAAGAATGACTGTCAAGTGTTGATAAAAGAAAAGAGTAAGAGAGAGAGCGAATGTCTGAAGGTCACAGCAGGTAAGTTAAAAACCCATTACGGAGCTCCTCCTCTTGGCTCTGGTCTGATGCTTTACCTGCCAGATCATTCTGAGAACCTTCAGGAACAAATGTTCGTGTGACCATTAGGAAACAAAATGTTGCCAGTTCACTAGAATAGTTTGATAGCCAGGCACTGTGCAGTAATTATCCTTCCTTTAGTCAAGTGCTGGTCACTGCTTGTTTCTACCAATGTCATACTGTATCCTGCAGCATCCTGCTATACCTGGGAACAGTGTGAAGTAAGTGTCGGGTTGTCCATGCATTGCTTTCTAGCTCTTTCATCAAAAGTACACACAAATACATCAAGAGGTTTCATGTTTCAGTGGTTTCTTCCTCTCCCCCCCCCAGCAGAATATCAAGTGTAACTTTGCTTTTTCCTTGAGTTCAATTTCAGGCTTTTTGCAGAAAAGAGACCTCAATCAGCACATACCTGATCAGACCCAAGAGCCGTGCAGTTCAGGATCTACATAGAAGCCTTATTGATGCTGTTCCTCGGACAACATCCTATATTTCCACAGACCCTCAGTGTAGCATTGAAAAGCCTCTCAGACCTCTGGAGTTTGATTGTGATTGGGAGGGAGGAAAGCAGGATGGATGAAAGTCGTAACAAAGGAAGGAATGTCTGCCTGCAGTCACACAGGGCAGTGAAAGAGTAGACTGCTGTGGTGTCTCCTGTTGTAATATTTTATGGTAGTGCACTGTAGTTCTGACAAGATCTCTTCAGGCTTTCAAGCTATTAAACAAGTTGTAAAATTGAAACAAAAGCCTCCTGCAAGTCAAATGTGCCAGGCTGGGGAAAACGCCAGGTCGGTACAAGGAGAACAGGATCAAAGCAGTTCTAATCAGTCTGATCTAATGACTGGAGAGGTGCTATGGCCTCATAAAAGGTTGCAGTCATACTAATTCTAGTCTGTCCTTTGGAGATGAAACATTTCTTCCCGTTGAGAACAGGTGCTCAGACTCCAGCATGATACTCCTCATAAAAGTCCTTCTAGCTCCAGGCTGTAATTAGCAATTTCATCCCATTTGTTTATCAGTAAAAGACTGGTATTCTGTCCAGAAAAAATACAGTGTGTGCCCCACTTTCTCATACTGGTTCGTAAGTTTCCCTTTGTTAAGGAGGACTTTCTGTCCTTACTCTCTAGACTAGTAAGAGTCAGGAGAGAAGGAAAAAACCTTTCCCTGATTTTTTTGTCTCAACAAAAGGTGGTGTGAAGATGTTCCCTTCAGAACATGCAGAAGTTTCAATGTATTCCAAGAATACAAATTTTCTGTAATGCTTCCCTGAAACTTGGCTATTGAGAGTTACCTGACTTAGAGGAAAGTTTTCACAGAAGAAAGTATTTCCAATTACCACTGTCCAGGAAGGCTGGCTTTGTTTGTAGCGTAGATATTTTATTTTAAATTGAGATTCTTTCACCTTGCACTGTAATGGTCAGGGAAAGGCAGACGTATTGCTATCTTGGTGCCTAAGCCAGGCTGTGCCAGAAAAACACTCCGTGGGGAAGAGTCTTCTACTGACAGAGATACGGAGTTGGACATGCAGCTTTTTGCCTCTGAAATCTGATTTTTCTAGACTTTCTGCAGTAAGTTGGATTAGTAAGAGTAAAACCTACCCCAGCTGCTAGACCAAATCTGTCTCTGAATTCTCCCTGCTGCTGATCTGCCTCCATAATCCCACACAGATGTGGACCTGTGTGTATGAGCCGTGGCTTGTTCTTGTACCACAGAAAGGGCCAGAAGCTCCTGTGGGCATACATAGCCCTGTCCGATTCCCTTAATTTGAGCTCTCATCCCTGGAAACGCCAGCCAACTGCTGGGACGGTTGGAGTCCTGGTGCTGTATGGGGGTAAGAAGTGGTCAGCGCTCCTGTCTTGGTTTGTTCGTGCAGTGAGGGGCTACTGCGGTTGATTTCTCCCGGTTAAAACTGCTTGCAAACAAGCACTTTCCTGGGATCCACGCGGGCATGTTAGGATTTACACAGTGCTGTTTGGCTCCAGTCACATCCGTGTTCATCAACAACGGTTTGGAGTTGATTTTTGTGGAATTTCTTTTCAGACATTATCAATACATTTATAGAGTTAATGCTTTTTGCTTTTAAAATACCATTGAGAAGGCGTGGCATCTGTACAAGCACCAGATGGACAAGTGGCTTATTAACACCAGAATATGAGTGTCATCTGGACGGCTTAATGTGCAGTACGAGGTACAATTAGGACACGCATTTGTGCTGCTTGAAGCCAGAGTTCAATTTTTAAGGCACGTCTGTGCCGACAGAGCTTGCTCCCTGCTCAGCTCGTGCTGTTCGGTCTGAAGGTCAGCGTCTCCTCGCTACTGCCTGTTTAAGCAAAGAGTTAAAGAGCTCAGCACCCTCTGGGAGGGGAGGCAGAGGGGAAATCAAAGCCCCCGATCCTGGTCAGGTCCATCACCTCTGATCTGTCTAGCGATGCTTGATATGTTTTTTGGTGAGTTCTGAGCCAGTATGGGTTTGATCCCTTGTGCATTCATTGCAGTTAAATCCGAAAACATGAGAGAAAGGTCTAGTAATGAACAGGAGGGATGAAACTTGGTGTGTGCAGTGATGGCAGGGAGGTCTCTCCCCAGGCACTCGGAGCCTGGTGGTCCAGCGAGGGGCTGCAGAAAGCGGGCAAAGGGCAAGGCTGGGAGATTCCTTCAGACAGTGTGGAATGGCAGGGGAGGGTGCTGCTTTCTGCCCTTGGTTCATGGTGCTTCCTGTGACATAAGAACAATCATCGTTTCATTATCCTTATAGGAACATTTTGTGTGATATTTAACTTGTAATTTTTTTGTTTGTTTCAGAGAAAGTAATTTTTCTCTCTAAAGATTCCCCCTACCCTTTTCCCTTCCTCCCTCTGCAGGGTCCAAACAGAGAAAGGAAGGAGGGAAATCACCCACAACCCCATATCTGGAATCCAGGAGTTCGAGAGAGCTTTCGTTAAGAGATGAGCAATTTTGACTGCTAGTGCTTTATCAGAAGCTCCCCTGGCAGCTTGATTTACACAGTTTCAGAACAATGAGAGAGGACCCTAAATTTTCCTGGTGCTGTGGCTACTGTGGAAGGTCAACAAGCCATTCCTCATGCTGCCTTGCGGTGACGGGCTGGCTGCTAGATGGTAACAAAAATGCATCGTTCAAGGTATTCCAGTATGTAAGTCCAAATTTGGCAACCTTAATTTCCTTGTTTTTCTGGTTTTGTGAGGTCCCTATGCAACTCCTGATGATCTTTATTAAAATTGGACCTTTTTTTTTAATGCTAGATCCAAGCCCATCAAGCTGCTGGCAGTCCCTCTCCCCTCCCACAGCTTTGGGCTCATGCTGTTTTCTCCCGCTCTGGTGCCCATCAGACCCCGGAGCAAGCAGAATTAACTGGCAACAAGTAATCCTACAGAAAATCCAGCAGTTGCTGGCCTGAGAGGCAGCTTGTGGGAGATGGGAACAGCAAGATGGTTATGTCCCAGCAATAGCTGCATGTGGAATAGCTGGGCTCAGTCTTATAAAACACACCCTAATTTTGACTGACCTAAATAATCTTGTGCTCTCTTGCCGTTCTGCTGTACCATCACACAGTCCCTTCTGTAGCTTACGGATAACTATGTAAAGGAATGCCATTGCTCTTCCTTTTCTCTACCTGCATGAAACCTGCTCATTTTTCCTCTGTCTGTATTTTCCTCATCCGGAACCCCTTTCCCTTTTATCTGACATCACTAGTTCTTGTATTAATGCATAATATGAAAGGCAAGCCTAGAACCCACTGCTCCCAGCTGCAGTTTTGGCTTCAAAATATTAAAAGAAAAGACTACCAAGGACCCTCAAGATCAATGTTTTGTTGAAAAATTTCCCCAAACTAATCCACAACAGGAGCATAGTGGAATCTTTCTTTGAGGTTGAAAGGAGAAAGTACTAATTTCATGCAGAAAAGATTGTATCTCGGACTGGCATAGGAACAGAAGATAAATAGGTATTAAATTACATTCAGCTGTCTGAAAATAATCTAATAAAGCATCTTCTGGACCAATAGCTGAATCATTATCCAAGGCACATAGCAAGCTTTCCCTCTTTTAATTTGAGATGCAAGAAAGAGGTTTTTACATTACCATAATAAAAAGAATAATACTTTAAGTCTTCATAGGAAAAAGGTAGAAGTAGGGGAAAAAACCCAAGAACCACACTTTATGCCTTAAGCAAGTGTCATTTTTCATTTGAAACATGTAATTTAGGGATATTGTGAAATAAAGTTTTTATATTTAATGACTGTCAATCTGTCAGCTTTGCTGAGCTGTTTGACAAAAAAGAAAAGCCAACCCAGAGTCCGTGAAAAAGACTTTGTGTGCAGGAAGAGAGGGGAAGGGCAAGACAAGGCTTTCAGCAACTTTTCTCCTAATTAAGGCTCACTGGAGAAAAAAAAAAAAAAGGAACAGTTCTCCAGTGAAAATGCAGTTTCATCGAAAGAAAATGAGATCTGCCGTGTTGGCTGCTGCTCGCTGCTGCAGTGTGCAGAGCCACAAACAAGACTTACGTAGGGAGAAATTGCAATC